CCGTTCCGATGTTCCAGGCAGGTTTCTCATAAGTCATGCTCTATTGAAATGAAGAAAGAAACCTCAGCAAAGGTTACTGAGGGTTTCGGAAAAGCAAAATGCATAATTGAAGTTGATATTTCCTTGCTCAATGATAGCTTGCTCAATAATTGATAGCTTGCTCACAGCAAACATGATCTATGAATTACTATTGTAAAAAAGGCGATGACACAACAGTTATCAATGCACTATTCCTTNGCGCACTGTTTTAGCCTCAATTTACGCCACCCCGCTGGCTAGGCGAGCAGACCAACCGAACACAACCGAGTAATAATTAGTCGCCGTGAATACTTTGCATAATTAAACGCAGTCAAATACCAATTCAATAAATAATCATTACTCTAATAAAATAAAGATCCCGTCGATCGCTTACTGCGATTGACGAAACAACCACTCGATGTCCAAGTAATAATTAATCAGTATTATCTATTGAATTATTATCTATTGCTGAATAATCCATAAGAACTGAGACGGTACTTTAAATCGCCAACTGATTTTTCACTAATCTTTTCAGGACAAACCGTGCACTGCTGAGTTCATTTCGAGGTGATCGACGCAGCTCATCACTATCGATGATCTATTGCTCTATCTATAGACGACATTTTCGCATGCCTATACTGCTCTCGTTAGCCGCGATCCTTCTCAATTTACCTGCTTTCTTCGAGATCCAGTCACATGTGTGTAGGCGACGAGACGGTCGTTATGGATATGGGGTAATACTCATAAATCTTAATCACCCTAAGACTGTGCTCCCATTTATGCGCCCACATAATTGTGGAACAATAACGACTTAATGGTTTCAACCCGTAGTGAACTCAGTGACTTTCATCGAATTTGTTGCAGTTTCATCACAGAACAACCTAGATTCTCATCAGATCATTCATCATTTGCTATTCACTCAATGTTTTTCAAAATTTCCTGATTGCTTGAGATTTTTCGAGCAAGTTTGTCTAATTGTCTAATTTGTCTGATCAGCTGAGCACCTTAGCCTTCTGAATTGGGCGCCATGTTTTGTAGAGAAATTTTTTCCTATTTTATTAGTGAATGGCTGAAGTGAAAAATTCTCGGTTCAATGTCTAGTCTAACGATAAGTTAAGCTAAATTTCTTGAACCAATGCTTGCGCATGCAATTTTTTAATGCGATTCGCAAAGTGAAATTAAATTGGATTATATCGAATGAAAATGCAAACGATGTATTTCATAAAATCAGCAGTTAAAGGTTGACATTAATGGTGAATCCTCAACATTTGTGTTGACATCTTGATACATTTCATTTTGTATACCTCAATTTATTGCGTTTTTTTCGCGATAAAATTCATTCAAGAGAATGCTCATCAGCTTCTGCACATTTTTTCTGCTCATCTCTTAATTCAATCAAGCCAAATCTTTCTAAATTGCGCGATAATTTAATGTGGAATATTTTGCAGCTTCACATCTCTAAATTACGGCTGAATCCCTACTATCAAATTTGGTATAAAGTCCTTTTCCGAATGGTCATGACATCATGTGTGCCGAATATTTTCATTCTGTGTGAGTTTTGTTCTTTTCTCACGTCAGCCATCAATTCGGCAAGTGGGTTTAAATTTTTAATGAATGAAGAGAGTTATTAAAAGGTGCTACTAGATTAAATGCATCTAATTGAGATTCAGTTATTTTTTTCTAATTCGTCGACATTTAAGACTGACATTTTGTCAAATGTTTTATGAGTAGGCGAAAGTTTCATTAGCATCTGAATCGATGATTATTCATGACACTCAATCAGCCGTATATAATCATAACGAGTGCATACCGAAAATCTATAAATAATTTTGAATGCGTAAATTGCGTATATAATACAATTACTACTATCTTGAGAGTTTTGCCGTTGTTGGTTCAATAAACTGTGATCATTGGCGAATATTTTTTGCATCACAGATCACAATACTTACAAATGATACTATTCATTCGAAATCAGTCCGAGCCTCGAAAACAATACGATAATGCTCACAAGCTAGCTTTTCAGTGAATACTTCAGTTTCAATTTGAAATCTGCTATTTTAGTGCTTACATCGATTACGATTTACTTACTGAAAGGAACGAATCGTTCCAGACGACAACTCTTTCATATGACTGAAACACTATCGGATAAATACTCATCCAAGTTCGTTTCTGTCCGTTTATCGCTATTTTTTCAACGGCTCCAGTCCATTTTTTGCATTTTGAAAATGCGCGATGCATTCGAAGTGCAACCAACCAAAATCAAACTTTTTTTGCAGCTAACTTGAGATGAAACGTTGAATTCTAGTTAGTATTTGGTAAATATGAAATGATTTGACATTACGTTCCACTCAAAACATGATAATCGCTTGATTTCTCATTGTTTCTCAACTAATCCGAATTAAAAACGCGAATATTCAACGATCACAAACCAGCATCGTTAAAGTCCTAGGCAAGTCTTAAGAGATCAGCGTGCAAGATAGCGTCGAGACATAATCTAGAGAAGTGCTCATTCTATGCAAAGTCTTATGAATGAAATTTCAAGATTCATGTTCATGTACTCAACTAGCGTCTCATTGCTTCATGAACACGATCCAGTTACATGCAGCAAACTAAACACGAAGAATAATTTCGATGAATGTGTTGTTTTAGGGAAACAATGCAAACAATGATCTCATTAATGCTCGTCATAAAATATTTACTCTTTCGAAGTCCCTCATTCTGTGTGAGTTTTATTTTAGTTGCTTTCTTTGTTTTGGCTATTTCGAAACGGTTTTCGTTATTGGTTATTTTAGTGTTCCTATGAAAGTGTTTTCTTTCAGTGAGTTTGCTAATCTTTGGAAAAATATAAAAGTTGGGCGAATTTGAAAATTTCATAGCACTTTTCAGTGCATACTTTACATGATCATTAGCATTTTATGTGCTGAATTATGCATACACCCATTGTTTGGCAACATTAAAAGCAACTGCAATTAAAGTTAACATAAGGCCGAAGATAGAGTTGGTCCGTTGAATTGCACATACGCTATAGTTGCGACATTAGTCAAGTGAACAAATTGCAAAATCTCACTGTTTATCCGACGGACAATTTCATTCAACATTTCAGTTGGACGTGATCGAAGTGACAATTGGATATCGAAGTTGGGTGCAGATATTCATCTATGGAGCCGATCTCAGTAATTTTCTTGTGATTTTGAATAGTGCAACGAATTGTTTGATATTTTTACGAGGACCGTCGTGGCTGCAAAGGCAAATCGTACAACGAACCACGATCAGGAAACAGAAACTTGCCTTCAATAAGTGAGTGCGTTTAGCAGCTTCTCTTTCGGATATCATAACCACCACTGGATAGTGGTCACCCACAGGAAATGACTCTATCGATTTCCCATATCTAGATGCAATAATGAATGGTCTAACGCAGTGGTTTTCATAAGGGGTGAAATTACCTATTTGGGCCGGGAAATTATTATTTCGTGCAGTTGTTATATTATGATAGAACGTCATTGTGATGGTGCTTTTTAACTGAGGTATGTAAATGCAGTTAATTGATGGCAACACTCTTCATTCTCCTATTTTTTGAGTATCATTAGCTCGTCCTGGCCTAACACGGTTTTCATTCTTTTCCTTGCTGTTACAATCGCTCTCATAGCTTTTATAGTTTTCATTCTTTTCCTTGATGCTACAATCGCTCTCATAGCTTTTATCAGCAAAAGTGTTCTCTTTTGGTAATTTCTCATTCATTTCATTCAACAATCAAAGTCACTCCTTTGCTAATTTCTCGTTCATTTGCTAATTTCTCGTTTGATAGAATAATTCTGTCAAACACACTCTATAATTGATCGTTTGACTGTGGCATATTGGTGAGCAATACTATTCGATTGTTGTGTTCAAGAAATTGTTTCCAATTGTGAAGTGAAATAAGACAAAGTGAATGAGAAAAACTCATCAAGAGAACGATATTCGCATGTGATAGCTATGAGAGTGAATACAACACCTCTGAAAAGAATGAGAATCCATGTGAATCAGTTTGAGGTGAGCGTGACATAGACAATAGCTTTTCATGCAGTCATAATCGATTGTAATCTAGGACAGTGGTTCTCACAGGAAGTCAAGTCATCCGTTTTGGGTGATTTGGGGGTGTTGGGGGTAACGGCAGATTGTCAGATCATTGAAAGGGGCAATGGAGCACCCGAACGTAAGAACGACTACTCTTTAGAAGCATTTGTGCAATGAAGATTCTATTTTGGCTTGCCTATTGTGAGTTTGATTAAAAACTGTAATGCTGAGAAGTGTGATTCATGAAGTGGTCATAATAACTGGTGACAACCCAACGGCAAACATAAAATCGCTATCATTGTGCTAGAAACTGAAACTTTTTCGGCTGATATTCGTAGAAAAGATTCGTTGATATTTGAACGATGAGTTCAAAATAATTCGGATCGTTTACAGTTTACAAACATCCCGACGTATCGCACTCTTGCAAAATTCATGGATATCTGTACAAACGATGACCTCGGGTCAGTTCGGTGTAAATGTCCTGCATGCTTTGCTGAGGAAAGACCCGTCACTTATTGACGCCTTGAGACCGATTGAACAAGGTCTTTTCTTCTTTCAATTTCTTCCACTTAGCTTTCTTCCTAATAAATTTTTTATCTTTTTGAAATGTTGACAATTTTGGCGGAATTTTGAAACTCTTCGATCGACGCGTAATCAGAACTTTCCATTCATGGCACTCTCACATATGCGTGGTACAGTATCAGTTACATTCGTACTGTTCATTTGTGAAAGGGAACTGGTGATATTAGCAAATCCTAAGCAAATCAACAATAATTGGTGGTTCTCAGGTGGTGATTTAGACGATGAAGAAGAGCCATTAAGGCAAACGGCTGGAGGACCAATACAACGGAAGAGTTTCGATTTGCTTACATACCCACAATATTATCAAGCTGGTGAACGAATAGTGACGTTATTCGATGATTTGATGCAAATGATGCAAAATCAACATGCTGAACAGGTACGCCAATATCAACTTTTGGCCAGTAAATGGTTCAGATAAAACTGACAATTGATGAAACTCATCCTTCATCCTTCTTTGAGATCACTGAACCTTACTACAACACTGATTCAATCCTTATCGCTATCATCAAATGCATAATAAACTCGTCAGTTATTCAAGGTGAATGCCGCAGAGAATGACAAATTGATTGGTCAAGGTAGTTGGCATACTGCTGCGTTCATCCAATCACATCACTAGATTACTGTCGCCTTTGTTTGGTTTAGCCAATTAAAACATACATACCGTCAGCAAATCAACAATCGCTTTCTAAGATGCAGCAACTAACGTCAAATCCCAAATCGGAGCTTATTCTTGCTTGAGCTCCGATCGGATCCGTATACTGCGCTACCATTACCTCCGAACAATAAGGTGTCTGCATTTTTAGGAAATCATTAAACGAATTCGAAGCGTTGGTGCAGCTCATGCTAAACAAAAGCTGATATTTAATTCATGCGTTTGGCGAGAATTTAAATCGAGTATTCTGGGAATGGTCGCCGAATGTGGTTACGACTCGGACGCGGTTTGTTTTTCGAAGCAAATTTGCTTGCTCTTGAAACTGCGAATTTGTTTTCAGCGCATTCTTTATCCCTTATATTTTGTCCAATTATGCACTAGAAAGCTGCTGATCGATCGTTTGAATGCCAGACATCGATCGCTCATAACAATTTGCGTATTC